GAGTTCCCACTTGTCTGTACGAAGTTTCTAGACTTCTGGATGTCCTTTCTCCTCTGAAGTGTGAGATTACCAGTGCTCATCACTTTTCTCACCAATGTGGCAAACTAAGGCATAAATCACCCAAAAGGCCAAGGAAAGCATTAGTTGGGACTCACTGTTTCAGAGAGCTCAATCCACATAGCCCCTGGACTCTTGATTTGGCTCCAAATTAGTGCTGACCATCATGGCTGAGGGAAAAGCGTGCCAGAGGAGGCTGTTCGTCTTATTGTGGCCGGGAAGCACACAGGTCCAGTTATGGGGACAGGATAAGCTATGGCCTTGAAGAACATATAGGCAGTAACCTGTTTCTTCCATGTTGGCCCCACCTCTACCAACTCCCCCAAATGCCGTCATTTATGAATCCTTCAGGGCTTAATCTGTTCACTGGGTCAAAACCCTTCTGATCTAATTGGCTCTGAAACATCCTCACAGACACACCCAGGTGTGTGACTTGCCAATATCCTCGGTGCATGGAAGTCCAATTAGAGTCATTGACCATTACAGTAACTGAAAATGATATTCAACTTAGGTAAACAGAATATGCTTAATCATAGTGGCCAGATCAAAATAACCGTCAAAATTCCAGTGAAACTGAATGGAAACCAAAGTTATGTCCAGACTTCTTTCTCCCCACCAGATCGTTGGTCATGAAGTAAATTTTTATATATCTTATAAAAGGTAGTGTATGCATATATTTCTAAGAAATTAAATTCCACATACTGTCTCTGGTTTCAGCTGTGGTATGGCAGTTTTGTTCCATTCTCTTACTCTCTTCTTGTGTTCATTTTTTTGCTCGGTGTTCTCTTTTTATTCAATGCCCGGCGAGACTAGATGGGTTGACAGACATGGCGGCTCACACCTGTATTTCCAGGATGTAGGCATCTGAGGCAGGAAGACCATCATGAGTTCAGGCTTATGTAAGCTACAGAGTGAGACCTGGTCTCAGAAAACAAAAACAAAGTATTAGAATGGTTGAACGGGTTCTGTATTAGTTACTTGCCGTGTTGCTCAGACCAAGGACATGTTGAAAGCGATCTGAGGAAGGAAGGACTTATTTGGGTTAGAGTGACACCATTCATCAAGGCAGAAGCACCTGGGCTGTGCATCCCCAGCCAAGGAGATAAAGATGAATGGTGGTGTCCAGCTAGCTGTCCTCTGTCCCATGAGGTAACCCAGGTAGTGTCCAGCTAGCTTTCCTCTGTCCCATGTGCTAGCCCAGCCCATGGCATGTGGCTGCTCGCATCTGGGCTTGGGCTTCTCACCTCAGCTAACCTAATCTAGGTAATGCTTTAGCTGCATGCCTGGACCTCGACCCTTCCATGATTCCAGATCCTGTCAAGGTGAAGAGCGGTATGAACTCTCATAGGCCGTTGGTTCACCCTTGCAGACTAGCCTTTTACAAATATTCAGATCTCACAGGTGATGTGGAACAAAGCTTTTGTCAAATGCGTTTATAGATGCAGCTATCCGTTTGCAGTGCAGGTGTGTGTGATACTGAACTTCCTGTGAGAAGCTCTGGAAAATGCTGGAAGCCTCCTTTGGTGTGGGCGGTCATTCCCCTCTGCACAGATGTGCACTGCCACTACCAGCCTTTGTCTGCCATTCCTGCTTCTACGAGTGCCAAGTGCTCATCCTTATGATGAAAGACCCCGAGAGCCCTCTGCCTGTGTGCTGGGAGTGACATCCAGACAGAATACAGGTGAAAAGGGGCTTGGCCACACTGGAACCACGAATTCCTAGTCTGTGCCTTGCTCCATTCAAAGCCGCATCCCTGCTTAAAGCACTGCTGCCTCCTTTTTGTTCCTTAATCTTTTCTTATCCTCGGCGAGTGCGTTCCATTGTATGTGATCACAGAAGAAGCAGCCAGCTCTGTTTGAGAGCATTAGAGGAGTTTCCCAGAGGGAATGACATTTCTTAAGTCATTTTTTTTCTACAAAGACTCACAGCTTGTAAACTTGAAGCATACCAAGTTGCTCTTTCAAAGACGCATCAATTAAGCATGGAATTTGGTCCTTTTCTAGTAGACGTGGTAGTGTTTTATCAGTTTAGCCTAATTTCTGCCCCCTCTGTGATGTTCCCAAACTATCTGTAATGCTGTCAGCCAGAAGGAAGGACCCAGAAAATGAACCCATATGGAGGACTGAATGTATTATTAAATGGTGCTGTGATCTTATCAACCAAAGGAGTAACTACGTACTGTTTATTTTTAGTAGCAAAGAAAAAGGCTTTGAACAGTAACTTCCAGTCTATAGTCAAACCACCTTCCATGCACCTCTCTTCAGAACAGTGAGATCACCAATGAAAACCACGGCCTGTGTGGAGCCTGGCCATCGAATAGTGACTCTCTGAGCAGATCCCACGCGTTCCTCATGGCCTCCGTGTGTGCAATCTAATGTCGGGAGCATGGCTTATCAGTCACATTGGTCACAGCCCTGAAGTGCCCTGTGAAAAGTAGAAATTAGTCACTTATGGCTGTCAGCAAATTTTCCCAAATGATTAAGTTCATCTGCCGTGTTTCAAGGTCACTGAGGTGCCTAGATAAAAACTGACCCATTATTTGTCCGACCTCTGACTTTATCTTCAAAGTCTGCCCTGTACCCATTGTATTTTTAAAGTTTTCTTCTTTTATTGAAAATACGTTTTTTCATATCATAAAATATATTCTGATTATGGTTTCCCCTCCCCCAACTGCTCCCACCCAGCTCTGTCCCCACAACCAGATCCATACCCTTTCTTCTGCAGAAGGAAGTTATCTCGTCAAAGTGCAAAATAACTCGACTCTTTGCTGACCACAGACTGCGTGCCCCTTGTCCCAGTGTTTCGTGTGTAGTATCCTGTCGCATCTCCTGTAGCATCTGACTTGATTCCTGTGCAATGCGGAGTCTCTGATTTACTTATGAGAAGCAAGACTCCCAGATAATCATAGAATGGATCTAGAAGATGCTTCAGTGGATAAAGTCCTTTCCTTGTAGACATGAAGACCCAAGTTCAATCTCCAGAGCCCAAATAAAGTATCCGGGTGTGTTAGTAGGCCTTAGTGATCTTATAGTCAGGCTTTGTCATAGGAGGATCGCTGGAGCTTACTATCTAGTTCTTATGTGAGCTCCAGGCCAGGGAGAGACTCTGTCTTTATGAACATGGCACATGGCTTCAGAGGAATGACGCTTGAGTTTGACCTCTGACCTCCACAGGCTCAAACTTGTGTTCTACCCCCACACGTACAGGGAAGGCTGCCAAAGATATGGTGGGGGTGGGGGATAATTTTAGAATGTCTGTTGAAACACTTTGAAAGCTTTAAAAGCTAGTCTGTTCTCAGTTTTCAGCCTGTTTCTTCGAGTCCGGTGAGCATGGCTGGCCCATCCTCTGATTGAAGCTTCGCTTTAGGCAGCGCCGCATTGCTCCTCCCCTCAGCTGTGGGGTCACTGTTCACCAGTTTCAGTGCTTTCTTCCTCTTCATCCAGTTCCTTCCGTTAGGGATGTACACAGAACACAGAAGTGCTGAAATTGGAGTTCTTGCTGTCACTTAGAGCAGCTTGGGCGAATACTTCATCTGTGTACGAAAGGAAAGTACGTTGGGGACAAAGTTGTCTTTGCTCTTTCAGGGACGGCAGCTGATTGCTGTCTCTGTTGTGTATCTAGCTTCATGTCTGTTGCTGTGACAAATACCTCGGCACAGCAGCTTAGGGGAACAAAAGCTTCCTTTAGCTCTGGTTCCAGGTGACAGGCCATCACTGCAGAGAAGTCACAGGGGTGGGCACTGAGACCGTTGTCACATTACACCTGGTCAAGCACAGAGAGAAATGAACACATACACATTTGTTGCTTGCTTGTGCCTGCCTCAATTTCTCCACTCTGTTATGGTTCAGGATTCCTCTGCCTGGGGAATGAATGTTGCCACTCATGATGGGCTGGCTCTTCCTTTGTCAATGGACGTAATTAAGAAAATTCCCTACAGGGAGCTGGAGAGATGGCTCAGTGGTTAAGAGCATTGCCTGCCCTTCCAAAGGTCCTGAGTTCAATTCCCAGCAACCACATGGTGGCTCACAACCATCTGTAATGAGGTCTGGCACCCTCTTCTGGCCTGTAGGCATACAGACAGAACATTGTATACTAAATAAATAAATATTAAAAAAAGAAAGAAAGAAAATTCCCTACAGACAAACACACAGACTAAGCCAGTGTAGACAGTTCCTCCTTGAGACTCTCTTTCCAAGTGATTCTAGGTTGGGTCAAGCTGACATTTAGCTTCTAACCATCACAGATAACCTTGTAGTCACTTTCGTTATAACAATGACGTTTTGCTTTTAAGTATTTTGAAGGGTTACTTTCTATGTGCACTAGACAATAAACTCTTGAAAGTGAAATGGTTTGTTTCTTCTTACTTTTAATATTGAAAAAAAAGGCAGTTATGTATTTCTCCCTTCCCCACTTATTTTGGGGTCATCCCCAATGAAGCCATGCAGGTTAGGGATTTGATGTCATGCTTCTGGCTCACAGCAGGTCATCAACAGTAGTCCATCCAGTATGGTAACAAATGGGTAGCACCATGAGTAGAGGCCCCCGTATATTTCATCTAAGTTAAAAGTGATGACATAATATTAATATTAATATATAGCTCAATTTAATGGAAGTTATCGATTATGAAGGAGAATGGTTTTTGTTGATGTATCCAAGAAGCATAGCTATAACTGGGACAAAAAAATAGTAAAATATAAATATGACTGGATATCAAGAAATTTCTCCATTAAATAAAGTTGGAATTGCTCTATCAGAGGAGACCTGGCAGAAGCACTGGGGACATACATCTAATCCAGGCATTCCCCCTTGGGGCAGATGATAAATGAGGTCTTATCTCTACTGTCATTGATCCTCCAGACTGTCACATTCACAACCCTCCCCTCACAGACAGATTGCATGTTTGTGTTAAATGTTCTAATTCGGTTTTCCTATTTCCTTTTTAGAGCAAATCCTTGTGCCACTGTCAGGAATGTCTTCCCTAACTGGGAAAGTGCAAACTGTGTTGGGCCTGGTAGAACCAAGCAAACTGGGCCGCACCTTGACCCATGAGCATTTAACAATGACCTTCGACAATTTTTACTGCCCGCCTCCTCCATGCCATGAAGCTACTTCCAAGGAGCCCATCATGCTGAAAAATTTATTTTGGATTCAGAAAAATCCTTATTCCCATCAAGAGAACCTCCAGCTGAATCAAGAGACAGAAGCCATAAAGGAAGAACTGTTGTATTTCAAGGCTAAGGGAGGAGGAGCCTTGGTGGAGAACACAACCACTGGGCTCAGCAGGGATGTGCAGACACTGAAGTGGCTAGCTGAGCAAACTGGAGTCCACATCATAGCAGGAGCTGGGTTCTACGTTGATGCAACTCACTCTGCAACAACAAGGGCCATGTCAGTGGAGCAGGTAAACAGTACTACTTACGACGTTTTGTGTAAATTCAGGACAGTCTGAACCCTGGAAATGCCATTGGCTCAGAAGGAACTGCATATGTGACTATAGTTAGCTCACAAAGACAGCTGCCGACTAGGACCCAAATTAGTGAGATTCCTTGTCTTTCAAATGTTGAGGAAGGGGCTCTCGACACACTGGTCATTGGCAGCTTTGATGAGTTAATGCTTGGTTTGTACAAATTCTATCAGAGCTCAGTGGTTCCCCTCAGTCTGCTTGTAAACCTCATTTTTCCATAAGCTTCAGTCATGCAGCTTTGGCTTTCCCCTCAGGTTTTATAATAACCAGCAATGAAAATTCACAGTAGGGTGAGACTTGGCAGGCATAGACTTGGTACGTTTGCAAATACAGCGTCTTCTCTTATTACAAGCCGGGAGGGGTGGGAGAAGGTCTGTTCTCTTGTTTATAATATTAAGTAAGAATGGGCAGAATAGAAGGAAGCTAAGCTTGCAAGGCTCTGTTGTACATGTGTGTGTTCTCTTGTGAAACACGTGCCAGTTTACATGTGTTTACATACAGAATATATTCTACATAGTTTCCATAGCCTGTACAGAATGTCAGGTAGACTCTTGCTGAAACATCTATTGATATTTAAAATGGTTTAATTTAAATTTTCATGTGCATTATGTTCCAATAAGCTTTGAAATGTCTACATCTGTGGTAGTTGAAGACTAAGCTAATGACTTAAATGCTACTGGACGTAGGAACCAAGTAATGTACACATTGTGGGAATAAAGGAGAGTGTTAAAGAACTTGATAGAGTTGACAGATTCAATGGCATCCATAGCTGTTGTATCCAGATTAAAATAAGGACGCCTCTTCTCAGGCTGAACAGTCTTTCTCTTCTTGTCCCTACAGAGTGTTTAAGCTATGAGTTTCTCAATAGTCTCAGTAAGACACTTAGAATAACTAGTTGAATTAGTCAAAAATGTGTGATTCATTACCCAATCTTAACTAAAAGAATGTTGGTGTGTGTGTGTGTGTGTGTGTGTGTGTGTGTGTGTGTGTGTGTTTGTGAGAGAGAGAGAGAGAGAGAGAGAGAGACAGAGACAGAGACAGAGAGACAGAGAGAGGTGAGAGAGGGAAGAAGGAAGGTAAGAAGAAAGAAAGAAAGAAAAGAAAAGAAAGAGAGGTTAATATATGTGCAAATACATGTCAGGGAACATGTGTGTAGAAGTTGGAGGACAACCTCAGATGTCATCCTTAAGAAAACTGTACCTCTCCTTTGAGATTGGGTTTCTCATTGACCTGGAGCTAATTGGTGATATTAGGCTAGACCAGCTGGCCAGTGAGCCTCTAGGATCCATCCATCTCTGTCTCAGCAGTGCCGGGGTCACAAGAATGCAGCACCTCACCCAGACTTCATATATGAGTGGGGGTGGAACACAGATCTTCATGATTGTGAGACACACTCTTTTCTGACTGAGCCATCCTTCCTGATCCCTGACACTGAATACAGTTTTGAAAGAATACAGTTCTAAATAAATACCTCTGTATAGTATGAGTTTGTTTGGACGTATTTCACAGTCTATAAAATAGACTCATTCTCATTCTTCCTCAGCTTACAGATGTCCTTGTCAATGAAATTCTGCATGGAGCTGATGGAACCAGTATCAAGTGTGGAGTTATTGGGGAAATTGGCTGCTCCTGGCCTTTGACGGACAGCGAGAGAAAGGTACTTCAGGCTACAGCTCATGCCCAGGCTCAGCTGGGCTGTCCAGTCATCATCCACCCTGGAAGGAACCCAGGCGCACCGTTTCAGATCATCCGTATATTGCAAGAAGCAGGTGCAGACATCTCTAAAACAGTTATGTCCCACCTTGACAGGTAAGTGGGGTACTTCACAAATCACTGTAAACCACTGTACAACTCAGGGGTTATTAGAGAAATCACCGGTGATGTGATAAATGAAATACTAATAAGGAGATGCAGTGGCTACCTGGAAGGTTTTTTTTTTTTCCAGTTCTGAGTATTGAGCATAGGGCCTCACACACACTAGCACTGAATCATACCCACAGTCCCTGGAAGGCGGTATTTATGAAATCTTGTAATGAGCATACACTAAAAAGTGTAGCAGTGTGCATATCCCTCTTGCGTGCCACCTTCTGTCTGAGACATTTTGTAAAGGGACTTCCTTGGTCTTGCATAACTCGTCAGAACAGGTCACTGCTGACTGCGCCATTTCTTTCTCTTATGATACGATATCATGCACATGCCAATTCGACGTGTTCAGTATTTGCCAACAGCTGGGGTGATAAATGCCTCTATAAATACAAATAAAGAGAAAACAAATGGTTTCGCCCTAAAAGAAAAACCAAAAATGTTTCTGCCACCTGTTTTTTTCTTTTCAACACCTGAATTACGGAAACTGAAATTATTAAGATAATGTCAAATATGGTGTTTCTAATTTTGGCATACTAGAATTTATGGCTGCTGTAACAATTATAACACAGCAACCAACCCAACATGGTGGGCTTTGATTCATGGTTCTGAAGAAGGGAGTCTGAAATCCCAGTGTCACAAAGACTGTGGGTGCTCAGAGGCTGCAGGAAGAACCCTCTCTTGCTTATTCCATTGTCTGGCAGACCTTGCTGTTCCTCAGCTTGTGGCTGGAAACCTAGTTTCTGCTTCTGCCTTTCCAAGGCCTTGGGTTTATATCTGTTTTCTCTTCAATCTCTAAGGATATTTGATATTGAATTTAGGACCCACTTGTAATAGCATGAACTCAAGTTAAGATCCTTAATTATTATCTACAAATCCTTTTTTTCTGAAATAAGGTCACGTTCAGAGATTCCTAGGGTTAAAACCAGACATGTTTTCAGAATGTGCTACTCAACCTATTACATGTCTTATGAGAGGCTTGACTTTATAAACAGATGCTTGGCCACTGTTAATACAAAAACATGTAACCAATGCTAATCCTAAACCTTTAGAGTAGCCGTATTGAAATTAGCATTAGATTGACAAGATTTATAATATAATTCTTCCTCTTTTTAAATTATTGTATTTCTTCTTTGAAAATGTCATACATGTCTACAGCCAATCTTGATCACACCCATCCATCACTCCCCCTCCAACACCCACTCCCAAGGACATTATTTTTAATTCCTCCAGTAAATGTCTGTGTTATAATGTTTAGCTTTTGTTTGTCTAAAAAGAGCCTTATTCTGTTTTCGTGTGTGTGTTTGTGTGTTATGGATAATATGATAGAATCAATCATTTCCAATACTCTACTTGCAAGTTACTTTCCTAAGCCCTCAGTGATCATCCATCGTACACTTCTATTGACAACCAGCTGAAACAAGGTGTCCTTCCTTTAAAATACTTTGGTTTTAGTTTGTTTGTTCCTTTGCTTATTTGCTGAAATCTTTTACAGCTGTTATTTTTATTATTCTGCATTTTTCTATGACCTGACTCATTGTGGGTTTTGGTTATTTGTTTGATTTGACTTTGGGTTTTTTTTTTGAGACCAGGTTTCTTTGTGTAGCCCAGGCTGTCTTCAAACTCAGAAATTCACCTGCCTCTGCCTCCCAAGTGCAAGGGTATAGAGTGTGCACCACCACTACTCTGCTTCATTGTGTCTTTTCTTATTGTGTACTTAGAAGTCCTTGATATTTTTAGTATAAAGATGTATCTTCCATTACTTCTGAGAAGCTCCACACATTGTCTCTCCAAATATTGCTTATTGTTCATAGTGTAAGTTCCAACCAAATACCAGCAGGACCTTCGTACCTGTCCTTCTTATCTCTGATTGTTCCTCCACTTCTCTCTCTGAGCCGTAATTTCTTCAGTTCTATCTATTCACTGTGGTCTTCCCAGCAGAATCCATTGCCCTTTGTGTATTTTTCTTATAATATTAACATAAAGTTTTCTTATTAAATTTCACTTCATTACCTTTCAAATCTGTGTGGTTAAATTTAAGAACTTTTATTTCCTTCAACACATTTGCAGTTTCTTCTTGTTGAAAAATAACGGTGAGCATCAAGCCAGGTATGGTGGTGTGTGCCTTCAGTCTTAGCAGAGGTGGGTGTATCTCTGTGTGTTCATGGCCAGCCTGGTCTACATAACAAGTTGCAGGCCAGCCAAGGCTATGCAGTGAGATACTGTCTCAGAAAAAATTAAGGTTGCAATATCTCTTTCATAACTGATAAACACAGTTTATTGTGTTTTTTATTGGTGTAGTTTGCTATTGACCCACTGTAGAAGGGTCCTGCATAGGAAGTGCTTTTGTGTGTCCTAAAGTAAAATGTTTTACTGTGAGCATATCCCACACTCCTAGAAAATTAATATAACAGCTAAATTATCTTTCCTCTTCTTTAAGTGCTTTATTTATTTACTTATTTTTGAGGCAGAGTCTTAATGTGTAGTTAGGCTGACCTAAATCCAGACCCCCCCCCCACCTTGACCTTCCAAGCATTAGGCTGCACCTCCATTCTTGGCTCTTCCTTTTTGGTTTTGCTGAGATTTTTTTTTCTTGCTTTTGTTGTTGTTGTTTGTTTGTTTTGATTGTTTCTGGCAGGGAGTTAGGTGTCATTGTCAACTTAATTCAACTTTAAATTAAATTTAAAGATGTTTCCTTTTATTTATTATGATAAAACACATGGAACATAAAATTTACCATCTTAAATATTTGAAGCATTCCCTTCAGTGGTGTTCCAAACATTTCTCCCCCATTCTGCTTTTCCTCCCTGTGAATCTGAACGCCACATACTTCAAATGGATGGAAACACCACAGCTTTTGATGGTTGTGTGCATCTCTGACAGGAGAACCTGTCACACATCACACAGCCACTGTGAGTTCTCACCCTTCCAACAGTTGTGGCTATAGATCCTCAGGATTTCTCTCCCATCTTTCCCACTCGTCAGCTGAGATGAAGACATGCACAGACTCCCGAGAACTCTGTGCCTCAGGTTTCTCCCAACTCCCTATTCCTGGTGGGGAGGGATCTTATTTCTGATGGTGGGGCAGCTTTCCCTGCAGCTCCAGACTGATCTTGCTGCCAGTTTAGTCCCCAAGTCTGCCATACAGAGCTTACATTGCTCAACCTTATTGCCCATTTTCTCACCTCCTTGTTGCTTCTGCCCCTGAAAAGGTCCTAGCTCTGCTGCAGCCCCAACCAGGCATTTAAAAACATGAGGCTTTTTTTCTGTTAAGTTTTTTTCAGTGTTTTACATGGACTCTGTTGGAAAGGTTTCTGTGAACGTTTAGTCTGCCACACTGCTTGAAACTAGATCAAGATTCTCCTTAAAGCAGGATCTTACCATCCTTCTTCATTCACAGTTAGACATTAAGTTAGAAAAATTATGCTTGGCACATATAAAAAATAAGTTTTCATTGTAAATTGCAAAATAAACCTGAACTAGCACAATATTTCTTGGTTCATAAAAATGAAACAATATAAAAAAAAAGACTAGTATTTATTTCCTAGTGGTTGGACTATGTTTTTTTACTAGCATATAACATATATATATATATATATACTATTATATATATTATATAATATATATAACAATAAAAATGTATGAACTGATTTCCATTGGCTACAAGTTCATTACTTCCCTCTTGGATCGCTCATGCCTGAATGGATTTGTTGACCTGACACCACACAAGCCCCAAGTAACCGGCACATCCTGAGGCAGTTGCTAGAGCAGTCACCCACTCTGCTCCCATGGTATGGATAATCTGAGATTCTAGTGCAAGACAAAGAAATACATGGGAATATTCCTATGGGGAAGCAACCAGGGAAAATGGCTTTTGAAAACAAACCAAATAAAGTAACAGAAAAAAGTCAGGAGGCAGATGTAGGAAGAGGTGGCTATTTGAAGTGACTGCTCACAGCAGACCAGTTGCTGGGCTGGAGTTTGCTAGGTCAGCTTCCACAGGCTGCCTGAGCTCTGCTGGGCAGTACGTACAGTCTGATCTGTGCTGGAGGAGCAGGGACTTCAGCTCTTTGTAATGGGGACAGCACACAAAAGAGCTGGACACAATGTGGAAGACATAAAAAAGGAGAGCATTTCCTAAAACACAGCCTTTAAAGCTTCCCAAAGCAAACCTAATGCCATTTCATTCTCCCACCGTGTTTCTGGGCATAGTACAGAAAAGGTTCTAAAGCTGTGCTTTGTTAAGTTTGGGAAGGAGTAGCTTGAGGTGGCCGCTGTGTCTTTTACCTCACTTAAGAACACAGAGGTTTGGGACTGAGCAGGGTGATCTTCAGCCTTGACTACATGCAAAATTACTTTAGGTTTTCCCTTCAAATGTAGATTTCATTTGGGAGAGCATAAACACAAAATATTTTAGTGTGCTCGCAAAACTATGGAAGCAGTGAAATATTCCTGAAGCTTTATGAAATCTGCATGAAGATTTATCCAAGACAGGCAGCCAGCGAAGTGTGTGTGCGCGCATACACACACACACACACACACACACACACAGACACACACACACACACACACACACACACACACACCCCACTGCAACAATAAGAACTCTTCTCATCGTTATCCAAAGGGGGCAATTGAAATGCTGAAAAGAAAGAGTTAATGGATGACCATCTCCTTGAAGACCTCCAAACCACACTGTTACCATGTGACCATTGCTTATCAGCTTAAGGTCATTAAATAGGCAACAACTTGATAAAATAAATCGGCCATGTTCCAAGCTCTCCTCCAACCATCTGTTTCCCTAAGGCCCATGAGTCTGTGGAAGAGCAGTTTGACTGCTATGAATTTAACCCTTAGGGACATCAAAGGGGGCTGTCCTTGACAGTGGCTACCCAAAGTCAACATCTATTAGACAATAGCAGTATCCCTGTGTTCTTGTATGGGAT